AAAAAAAAAAAAAAAAAGAAATGAATACAAGGAAAGGAGGCAAGAGCATATCTCTATTAGTTTGGAAATAACTTCTCAACTACTTGGTAATTCTCACTCTAACCTCTACACACTTGGCATGGTCACCTCATTGGCACTTCTCTGAACCCACTGATCCTGTTTGCCACAATACAGCTGAAATCCTGATGCACACACAGGTCAGGTCTGCAAGCATGGAAGCAACCAAAGGTACCTGTGAATCTTGCAGAGTTTTTCAGGAGGCCTCCAAGATACATCATAAAATGAGAGGACCTAGTACTTGGTTTCAAAGAGAGGTCAAGCTTGATCCCACAAATCAGAGGTTAACCCTATCCATGGCATGTGGTGGGTTGTGCTCCCATTTAAGAAGAACCCCCAAACAAGAAGCAGGCCCAATGAATTAAGTCTTTAAAGCATTTCCTCCCCTCTGGTTCTAAAAATGTTGCAAGGTCTGCAAGTTCAAAACCACTTTCATAATAACACTAAGATGTTATTTGCTTTTCATTTTCACATTCTCAGAAGTCCACTGTGGAGGTCTCCAGAAGTTACATGACATGTGATAGTGCAAGAGACTGAATAAAGCAGATACAAGAATCCAGTTTTCTTTTATTGAGCCAGACATTAAAAGAGGTTTGCAGAAATGTAAAACAATGCCATTATTCTTGATAAGTTTCTGTTCTGGAAAATACAGGGGTTTTTTTCATAAAAAAATGTTAAGATATAACTGATCTATTATTTTAAAATGTTATTAAATACTGTAAAAGGTTCTCGGTTTTAATTATATATGGCAAATATCAACCTATACAACCCACATAAACAAAGGTTCCTTATGATACTAATTTTTAAGAGGGTAAAGGATATCGAGTCCAAAAAAAGTTTGGAAACTTCTGTCCTAGAGATTGTCCCCTGTAAGAAGAGTTGTGTGTTCTGCACGTAGGAAGACTTGCCATTCCGGTATGCTGATCAAGTAGGGAAGGCAGCCGGTCTCCTTAGAATTTGGGGTCCATTAGGGTGGGCTTTGTGTCCCACCCCTTCCAGAGGTCTTCCTCCCTCACCCCATTTCCTCTTGATGGGGATTCCCAGACCTGCCACACAAGCTCAGGGACAATGACCCGCCATCCAGGCTCGGGACGGACTCCCGGGTGAGGCCCAAACACCCTAGGGTCAGGACTCTGCGCGGCCCGCACTGCCTCGCCGAGGGCTCCCGGGCAGCACGCGCAGCCAAAGCTAAGGACCGCAAGGAGAGGCACTCCAGTCTCCGTCGCGACAGAAACTGAGGGATGGCGGAGAGACCACGTCCCCAGGAACACGTCCCCTCGGCCTCCCCAGAGCTCTGCCCGACCCCCCCGGGCCGCTCTGCCTCGCGCGCCGGGGAAAGGCCCTCACCAACTCCCGGGAGGACCCTGTGGCCAGCGTCCCCGCCGGGGGGACGTCAATCGGGACGAATTGGTACTCACCAGGGACAGCACGGCGGGGCTCCGGCGACTAGCGAGCCGGGACAGAGCAGCGGGCGCACTCGCAGGCGGTCCCTGCCTCCGCCTCCGCGATCCTCCCCCGCCGCCCCCGGCCGCTGGCCGCCGGGAGGAGCAGGGGCGGGGCGGACGCCGGCCGGAACCAGCCCGGCCGCGGACGGGGCGGGGCTTCCACAGGGCCCCGCCCCGCCCCCCAGCGGCCCGGGAACTTCGCCCCGGGCGGGACTCTGGTTGCTAGAGGTTGGCCGCAGAAAGTGGGGAGACGCATCTTTCCACAGGGCTCGCTCGTGCCGGCCTTGGTCCCGGGGCTAGGGTGACGGTCGCTCTCGTTGGTCGCTCTCGTAGGGTGTGACTGCTCAGCTCGCGCTAGGGCCGGAAAGAAATGCAGTTTGTTTTTTTTTTTTTTGTACTGGAGATTGAACTCAGGGGTGCTTAATCACTGAGACACATCTTCTGCCCTTTTAATGTTTTTATTTTTAAAATAGAGTCTCGCTAGGTTGCTTAGGGCCTCGCTAAATTGCTGAGGCTGCTTTGAGTTTGCATTCCTCCTGCCTCAGCCTCCGGCGGAGCCTCTGGGATTACAGGTTTTGGGCGTCACGCCTGGCAAAGAAATGCAACTTAAAAAAATGATAATAAAATATTTTGCCGTAACTGTAGAGGCTTCACTATCTGGCTGCTCCTGCATCTGATTATCTTGCTCTTCTTGTCTCCTTGCCCTTCTCCCCATTTCATCCTTCACCTCCCATCCCTACCCGCGCCTTGATTCTTTGCTCAAAGTCTGCCAAGTGGGACTCTGGTTTAGGAATGCAACGTTTCTAGCATGAATGTATTCTTTTCAACTTGTGACCACACTTCACTCCGTAATTCATGGTGTTCTCAGATCTGTAGGAAATGGCTTGGGCCTTCTCCAGACATGCTTTAGGTACTGGTTGGAGTTGTGCCCTGTAGGTAACTGTGAGTCAGAAAAGCGATTATATCTTTGTAGGTGAAAGGTGGTGATGTTTTCTTGCCCAAATTATTTGGGAAAATCATTGTAGTTTTCTATCTGAATGAACAACTAATAGCCAATACTATTAATAATGCCAACCACTATCAGCAATCATTTACTGCCTCCACTTGGCCCAAAGCCCTGTGGTTGGATCTTTACTAATGTCTATTCAATTCATTTCATGCTTCCCACCACCTAGGAAGTGAAGACTTCAGAGCTGTGAAATGTGGCACAGCTGGATTCAGTCCTCTGACTTCCACAGCAGCATCTCCCCAAACAAGCTACCCTGCAGGGCACACCTACCCGGTGATATTCAATTTTGAAAGGATGGGGGTGGTGTTACTGTATTTCCAATAGGAGAAGACAGTTTCTTTCACCCATTTCCCAAATCCCATCCTTTCATATTCATTGAACAAATTTTCCTTAAATGTTTACCATATGCTAGAGGTTTACCATAAAACCTGAAAAATAATAATGCTAGTGTCTCCTCAAAAGTTAAGGAGAGTATAGGGAAGGTGAGAGTGGATAGTAGGCTGTGGAGTAGGGCCAGAACATGTCCAGCTAAATTTTGATTTGTACTGAGGCAGCCCTTCAGAAAGCAGAATGTTTTAATGTTCAACACCAACATACATATAACTGATAATCTTGACCCAAAGTAATTAAAACAGGGCCATAAAAGGCACGGAGATTAGTAAGCACCTTAGCCAAACCATGAAGGGAATATTTTTCACATGTCTCCACTCTTTGACATGTTATCAATGACATGCTGGTTGAGAATCCAGTGGCCTCCCTTCTGTTCTTGTTCTTCCTTCTGCTCTGTAGTATTTGGCAGCAGTGATTAATCCTTGAAATTTTAAACTCCTTTTAAATTTTCAGCTCTCTATTTTTATAATTCACCTCTTCCCTTTTTAATCCCTCTTTCTTTAGGCTCTTTCAGTATTATCTGTCTTCTCTTGCTTTTCCTGCCACTCTGCACTCTGATGAGTTCTTCTTTGTCTCTTTTCTCACCATGCAAACTCCTATCACTTCCAGCTGAAGCCTGCTGTCCTTCATTGGTCTTACTTCTTCTGATCCTCACACTCTATTTCTAGCCATTTGTAGTATCACCACTTGGACATTCCAAAGGCGTCTGTCATTCATCACATCTAAAATGGAAAGTTATTATCCTCTAACCATCTGTCCGTCCTCTCCTAGCCATCCAGTTTCTTCCTCATTCTGAATCCTACATCTCGAGTTGGATCCCATAGTTTGTTCAGAAAGCTAAATACATGGATTGAGAAACACATCACTGTGCTCACACAGGGTCTAAGTATTTCTGACATGGTATCAAAGGTTCTACTAGTGGCTCAACAGAGTGCATATACTTTATGGACCTTCTGAGAGGAAGCCACTCAAACGTGATAACTACAAAAACAACAAAGATTCCGTTGGAGATTGTTAAGCTGAGGAGTGCCTCATTGTATTCCACACTGATTTTAGTTGTAGTCCTGTGTGGTTAAACATTGGGAATACATTCTCAAAATGCATCCTTAGACACTTTTGTTGTGCAAACATCATAGAGTGTATTTACGTGAACTAAGATGTCTACAAATGTCACTAGGTGATGTAATCTTTTGTGACCATCAGCCTGTTATTGACTGAGACATATGTGGTACATGACTGTATTTTTACAAACTGGACTTAGTTGATTAAAAGGTCTGAAGAACTATATCCCAACTGACTTTATATATATCATGATTTGCAATTGATGGTAAACTTTCATACACATGGACTTAATAGAAAAGAAGTGGTATAAGAGAAAGACAAATCTAGCATAATGACTCAAACTTTGGAGTGCACTGAAAACATACATACTTTACTCTTTAGGCTGAGTTTGATGGAATCAATCAGAGACACACTGTATGAGAAATACTGGTGGTACTTCTCAGATTTTAGATGTTTCCCAGAATCATTAGAGGACACTTATTAAAAATACAGCTACCTGTATTCCCTATATCCTAGGATGTCTGATTTGTTAGAGTAGGGGCAGGATCTATGCTCAGATTCTGAGAAAGTTAAAATTTTACTACAGGAGATTCTGCTTTAGAATATCTGTAGATTGTCATCAGGGACCTGATACCTATAAATATAAACTCCATGAAGGTCAGAGGACCATGTCAGTTTGTTCATCACCCCCAACACAGAGCCTGGCACGTAGTAGGTGCTCAATGCAGTTTTATCAATTCTGACTCACTGTGGGCTTCTTTGTTTTGTGTATTCTTTGGCTCTCTGTTGGCCTGCATGTGGTTCAGGGTTCCTCCATGTGGTTCAGGGATCACAGAGGGATGACATTTGTTTGACAAGGAATGGAGAAGTATAATGTCATCCTGAACTTCTTGCTTGAAGGGACTCTAGGATCTCTGACATTTTCAATAATGTATATCTTTTTCATACCAGAGAAAGTTTGAAATGAATACTTTCTGTTCCTCTAAAAATCAGAAAGCTGTATTTATATAAGAAAAGGCAAGTCTCAGTCTCCTCTTGGCCCCAACTCAGCCACATTTCCACATACTTAATTTCCCTTCTCTTTCTTAATGTTTAAGCATTAAAATATCCCTGGGTGGTTTCCCAGAGTCTTCTGGCCAGCTGCTTCTAGTTAGGCACCATTTCTCTCCAAATAGCCAATAATAAAACCCAAACCTTATTAAATGTCCCACTAAATCTTCACAACAATCATTTGAGGCTGGGAACATTACTGTTCATACATAGATAATAAAATTGAGGTTCACAGTAGTTACATCATTTGCTTCAGATCGAAAATTCCTGACTGATAATCCTGGGGTCTGAATGGAGGCTGATTTCACCCTCACCCTATATTTTTTAACTTTTAGACTCCTCTCACCCTATACTTTTGACTTTTAAGCAACAAAAGAGCTGGAATTTAGAATATATAT